AGAGAGAGTGTTCTTTCAAGGTCTGGTTATGGAGGACACTTACCTGAGCTAGAAGCAAGTGACGAAGGTGGCATTGATGTATCTGATGTGGGATTGGTATTGCGCTGAAGCGCGTTGACTCAGGGAACTGTGAACTCATTGTAATCATAATTTTTGATAATATAAGTGACGGGTCTTGGTCCTATTCTCATCTACCTTTGTCTCGTGTGTGGCAACTGTGTCCATTGAGTGTGAAGACGATGTTTGATGTATGCACATCTGCGTGAGTTGGAGCGTGGGTGAGTAGTTATGATGTATCCTGTAATTCTGACTTGCCGGTGGAATAGGAACCGGACTGATGCTCCTCAGAATGGAAATGGAGCCAGGACCATAAGTGCCTGTTTTAAAAAAAAAAAAAAAAAAAAAAAAAAAAAAAAAAAAAAACAAAAACGAAGTTGGACATGGCAAAAAAAAAAAAAGGAAAGAGCAAACAGTGAAGTATATGGTAAAAAAGAAATAAAAAAAAAAAAAGTTTTAAAAAAAAAAAAAAAAAAAAAAAATGAAAAAAGAGGAGAGATGTGGTATGCATTGAGCCTCACTGCTCGACACCATGAGCACACACACACACATTGAGAGATCACACGAAACCCACACTGGAGTCCAGAGATGCGAAGTCGACATATGTGCAGCTTAGAAATTCCAACAAATTATCACATTAAACAGTTTCGGAGATCCATTCACCAAGCGCTCAACAGTGCAGAATTCAGCAACCCAATACCAGCACCCTCACCTAAGGTAGGTGACTTTTCTCTCCCTGGCTCACTCTCTTTCTTTCTCTGTGTCTTCTCTCTCTCCCTGTGTGCCTCCTGGTCTTCTTCGCACATTCTCTCTCTCTCTCTCTCTCTCTCTCTCTCTCTCTCTCTCTCTCTCTCTCTCTCTCTCTCTCTCTCTCTCTCTCTCTCTTCCCTTGAGAATCTTGACTCTGAATACTTTCACCGCTACTCAGCTCTATCCCTACTACTACCTTATGCAGCTATGGCCACCTTCCCTCTCAGTGCAGCGCTGCCCATTAGGGCTCTCGCACGCATGCTACTCGCAGATAGCGCACAAGCACTTCAGCAGCACTTCCACACCTCTCACGATGAGCAATCTCCCTGAAATGTGGCTGGCCAGTCCTTATATTGACTTGGACTGAGCCTCAACTCGTCCCAGCCTCTACTTCCTTTGGCTTGACTTGGACCCGGTACCACATGCCCACGGCCCGCTTGCTTCAGAATGTCAAGGCCTCTGGTACTTTTCCCGAATTTTCATTGGAGTCTGTGAGTCATGACTTTTCATCTGTGGAAGATGACTTTTGACTGTGGGATGTGACTCTTTTGCCTCTGGAACACGACTTTTGCCTGGAGAAGTGTCCTTTGCCTGTGGGACATGACTTTTCAATATGAGACGTGACTTTTGCTTACAGAATGCAACTTTTGTCTTTGGGATGTGACTGTTTACCGGGTGCATGTTGGACTTGACTCCTAAGGTACCCAACTGTGACTTTTCTGAAACTGACCGACTTGGCCTCCCTTGGACTGAGACCTTGACCCTGGAATTCGAATTTGAGGTCTGCATCGTGGAATGCCTTTCACTCTCGCCGGCCTAATTTTGAGGTCCTCCGAGAAAGTTACAATATTTACCTATCAACTATGTTGATTCCTCGCCTAGCTCTCTCATAATAGGACACTATGTGCGCATTGTGCGGTGCTGTCTCGACAAACTCATCTCTAGTAAACCAGCGATCTTCCGAAGGCTCTTGATAAGCGGATCTAACTTTGTATTGGCGCTGGGGCCTACCCCTGCGTCCAGATCTATAAACATCCTTTGCAACGATGCGGTCCACGTCATATTTACCATCCATATCAGCAGGAATCATAGATCTTCGAGATGGAAATAGCTCATTGCTGACACAAGGGAGCAACTTAGAGGCATGAAATACCGGGTAAAAGTGCAAATGCGAAGAAATCTCAACAACGTAGGAAAATGACCATTCACATCACCAATCACGTCAAGTACCTGCCACGGTCCCCTATACACAAGCAATAACTTCTGTGAGATGTTCTCCTCTGGGAGAAACTCTTTAGACTTCACCCAGACCAAAGCCCCTACAGTGAACTGTGAAGGTTTGCGGTGTTTATTTGCTTGTTCTATCATCTGATGTTGTCCCTTACATTTTCTAAGTCTTTCTCATACTGCACAACAAACTCTCTAGTCCCTGGAGGAAGCCTTTGCACTTGATCAGGGTTCAGATAGTCAATGGGCTTACGTGGACGCCAACCAAAATGCAGCTCAGTGGGTGTTTGTGTTGTAGCCAAATGCACAAAATTGTTAGAGGCATTAGCGACCTTAGCTAGATGTTCATCCCAGTCAATCTGATCTTGTTGGATGTACATACGCAACACCTGCTGCAACACTTTGTTTATGTGCTCGGTCTGTCCATTTGTCTCAGGATGTCTGCCTGAGGACATAGTCAGTTTGGACCCATAAACATTCATGAGTTGTTGTCAGTGCTCGCCCGTGAATCTTGTATCCCTATCACTTACAATAGTCAAGGGATGCCCGTAGCCTTTCACCCAATGATTAAGGAACGTTTGAATTACTAAGTCTGTCCTTGCTTCAGCAGGGAGTGGCACAAAACAGCAAACTTGCTAAACCTGTCCACTATCACCATAACTTGGCTCTTCCCGTTCCTACTTTTTACCTTCGTGTCTATAAAGTCTATAGACACGGAGTCTCCAGGACCCGACGATATAGGCAGCGGTCTAAGTAAACCAAGGGGAGGCTGCGTGGAACTTTTGTTTCGCTGACATACTTTGCAACCTTGTACATAAGCCATACAGTCATGTTTCATACCAGTCCACGTGTAGGAACGTAGGATGTTAGTATACGTTCTCCTCCGACCAAAATGTCCCTCGGTGTTGTGGCTTTCCCGTAGGATTAGACTGTGAATCTCTTCACTGCTAGGGATGCACAATCTGTCGTGCACATTTGTCTTCTCAAAGTCCTTGGGTCACTATATAATCCGGAACTTTGTGTGGTGTTGTCTGCACCTTGCCAATCAACTGACTATAGACTGGATTACTAGTGTAGGCGGACCTAATCTTCTCTTGTAATTCAGCGCCCGCATCCAAGTATGTTACAATGGCGTCGAAGAAATCTGCTCGCCTACTTAGCACATCAGTGAAAGCGTTATACTTCCCTTGGACTGGCTTCAGTTCAAAATCAAACTGATCAATCTCCCCAGCCCACCTCACCACCTTAGGTGTCATTCTAGCTTGGGTCATCTGCAAACGAAGTGTCTCATGGTCTGAATACACTTTGAAATGTTGACCTAGGAGATAGTGTCGCCAATGACTCAAGGCTTCTCTAAGAACAAACAACTCTCTTTCATACATAGAAGCGGCAACTTTCTCACTAGATAGTCTACAGGACATGAACTCAACAAGTTTGTACTCATTTCCATCATTCTGTTGGAGAACAACACCTATCCCGTATTGACTAGCGTCAGTGGTAACGATAAACGGCAAGGATGGATCAGAGATCTTCAGAACCGGGTAATCTATCAAGCACTTCTTTACACTTAAAGTTTGAAGTACAGTCTTTATCTCATCTCCAGATTGTCTCTTTCCTCAACAGCCTACGCAATGGAGCAGCTATTACGGTAAAGTTTTGTGCCAACTTGTGGTAATAGTTGGCCAGACCAAGGAACGATCGTAACTCCGTCAAAGTATGCGGTGTCGGCCAATCCCTGATCGTTGTTATTTTGGCATTTTCCGGCTTAATTCCATCTTCATCCAACACGTGTCCCAAGTACAAAAGCTGATGTTTTGGGTTCAACTTAAATTGTGCGTCGTGCAATTTACGTAGCACTAAACGTAAGTGTTGTTAGTGTTCCTCTAACGACTTGCTAAAGATCAGAATGTCATCCAAATATACAACAACAAATTTATCTAACCAATCGTGGAAGAGTTCATTCATGCATCGCTGGAAGGTACCAGGGGCGTTAATCAACCCAAACAGCATGACCACAAACTCGTAGTGGCCATATCGAGTTCTAAAGGCCGTCTTGTGTTGATCCTCAGGCAACACGTAATTTGATGGTGACCCGATGTCAAATTTATCCATGCACTCTATCCAGAAGGTTGTTTATCCACGGTAATGGCTCTGCATTCTTAATGGTAATCGCATTGAGTCCCCGATAGTGGATCGCCTTCATTCTTCGGCACAAACAAGACCAGTGTACCATATGGCGAAGAACTTGACTTAATCCACCCTTTCTATATCAACTCATCTAACTACCTACGTAATTCATCGAGCTCCTCAGGTGACATACGATAGATGGGGCCCTTGGGAATCTGGTTACTGGGTTCTATGTCTATCCGGTGCTTGGTCTCCCTTTCCACAACTCTACTTGGGGTCTCTCCCACATCAGCGAACTCGTCTAAAAGACTTTGCACTTCGGGCGGTATGGACACTTCTTCCTTTTTCTCTTCATTAACCTGAAATTAAACTACCTTGCTATTTGTGTGTTATATTCTATTTCTACTATTATTACATGCCTTCCCATTTTTCTTTCCTTTTTGTTCTC